GTTACTATGACATAACCTCTCCTCTCCTAACCCAAAGACTTTTGGTGAGAATTTTTGATGGCTCTTTGATATGCCAAGGGGAGTCATTTAACTTTTACAGTCTTGATTTACCTATTAGTAATAATTGAGGACTGAATTAGATAATCTCTGAGGTTGTAGTTACTCAATCATGATGCAATATCGTGATACTGTGAGTCAGGGAAATCCTATGAGGAAGCTGTAGTGTTATCACAGATGTGCTACATAGTTATTTTGGGTTACAAAACAAAGACAAAACCATCACCTGGGGGATTGTTTCCCTAGAAGTGTCTTTGGAGTTTTTGTAGAGAGATGAGGTCACACCACATGTTTTGTTGGATAGTCAATACCTAGAACTATCCTGAGATGTTACAAAATATAACTTTTGCTTGACTGAGGGTAATTATCATGAGATCTTATTTTTTCTGTGATAGGAGAATAATAAATACCAGTTATTGAAAAACTTTCTATTTCCTGGTACTCCACATGTATTATCTCATCCCCGGAGAGAGATTCCAGTCCTTCCTTCCCTCCCTCTTTCCTTCCCACCTTCTTTCCTTCCTTTTTATTTTCTGCTCATCCTGCCTTATTTCTTCATCTATGCACATATCTACTGTTCACCAATCTTTATTCCTTTCTTTTTGTCTGTCTTTTACCTTTTTCTTTCTTTTCATCCCATCCCTTCCCTCCTTTCCTCCTTCCTTCTTTCATCTGTTATTCCACAAGAGATTATCCTATTTTTCCAATTTTTCTAAGGAAGAAACTGAGGCTTTTAGAAAATAAAAACCTTTCCAACCAATATCAATAATAAGATCCAATCCCAGGTTTATCTGGGTTCAAAACTCTCAATCTCTAAAATATTTCTGGGATCAATTGTAAATGCTTAAGTGGAGAAAACTTAGGAAATATGGTGCTTCAAATTTAGGTCCATTTTATTTTAGATATGGTGAAATTGACTTCATCTACCAAGTTCTCTCCCCACATAATATAATTTTGGTTATATGTGTATATATTTTCCAATATTATTCATATTCTCTTTTAAAAAGTTTGTCAATTTCAAAAAATTTCTCCATATTTCTTTTCTCATATTTGTTGTCCACACCACTTCCAATGTAATACACATGAGTTGCAGTCTCTTGCACTGTCTATAATTTTAAGCTCCTGATTCAAAATAACAAGCAAAGCAATATTAAATTATAAAGTGTGTAGGTGTCTGCCTCTGAGGGAAAGGCATGCAATTTTGCGTTTTTACTTTTTATTAGATAAAATTAAGCAACAGATAGAACGATTCCTAATCAAAATACTTCCTGTTCTTTCAAATCTATTTTTGCATCTATTCTGACATACTCTTGATATATCTTTGCTAATGCCTTTAACCTTGACTTTTTGTTCTCTCTCTCTCTGTTGTATAACAGCCTATATTACAGATACGTGACTAGATAGAATATTTTCTCTATAAAGTATCCGAAAGTAAAGGATAAAAACATTTATAAAAGGCAACCTTTACCATACTATATTATCACAATTTTATTACTCAACAAACATGAAATCACAATGGTAAAAAGATCAGAGGAATAAAAAGAATGCAATAAAAGAAGATGGCACACAGAAATACAAAGTTCATCCAAATTTGAGGACTTAAATTCTCAAAGAGCTGAACACACTGCCAAGAGTCTTTAATGCTCTCTGCATAGCCACTGAGCAAGAGTACCTTTTCCTCCTAAAACCATCATTCTACTGGTTTGTTGGTGGTGTGCACTTCAGCACTCTCCCCAGCAATCCTCCCTATTGTGTTGCTGCCTGGAGTCACACTCCTCCACAGAGGTAGCCATCCTTATCCAATCCAATGTGGGCAATGCCACTTTTCTTGACATCCCAGTGCATTCTGTCATCAAATGGCAAAGGAACTGACCATCAGTAAACTTGTAACACCACTGGGGCCAATGAAATCCAAGGGAAAGTTAGTTGAGGAATTTGGGGGGAGATACTTTCTTGTCCTTCTCAGAGAATTTCAGAACCAGATATTTCTCTTTCTGGGCCCTGAAAGAGGGAACTCAAGAACTGGTGCAACTATTCTGCCAAGAGAGAAGCCAACTTCAGAGGAAAGGTAATCTCATAGGAGGGTGAACAGAAATGAATCAATTCTGGATCCTGCCCTAAGATGGACCTTCTACTTATGTGAGCTAATCAAAACTATTTCTTTCCAAAGTCAGTTTGGATTGGATTTTCTATTACTTGGAACATTTAAAAAGGTTTAACTGATGCATCACTTCTTTTATTTTTGTTCCTTAATTTCCTATATTTCTAATAATGCATAAATATATCCATGTATAATTATGATTATACCTCAATATATCATATGCTGTAGAAGAATCTAATTTATAGGACTTTTTATGAAAGTAACAAAGATGAATTTAGGATCTAACAGAAACCTTAAGAGATTATGTGAGAAATATAAAAAGCACACCAATTATAGGAGAATTGATAATTTTTCCTTAATTCTAATATTTTGGGAAATATATATAACTATTCTTGTAGCTACATTATTTTTATTTATTGCTATTTCATTGTTTTAACCAACCAAACAGACAAAATATCTTAAGATTTATCTTCCAAGCCTACTTACTCCTAGTGAGCTACATGATGTACAAGACTCTCCAATGGCATTATTTTATTAATGCATTAAGAAAAACAATGCTATGTGCCTCTGAAGACCTTTGGCTGTCTGGGTCCTCCCTCTTCTCTCTCCAAATGCTCATCACTCATCAACATACACCTGCAGCTCCAGACTCCTCATAATTCTACTCCTCTCCCCCAGGTATACCATCTTAATTTTTGTATCTGTGGTTTTGGTCAAGTCCTTCCCTTACCTCTCCAAAAATGGAACTCTTCCCTACATAAGCTCTACCTCAGTATTTAGCTCTTTCGCTTTTATTATACATTACTGAGCACATGACTTTAATGCTTCAGTTCTTCTCTGTAATTAGGTTTTTTAATCCTCAAGAGCAGGGATTGAAATTTAGAATCGCCACTCCCCAATGCTTCAAGTATATGTAACAGAGTAGATATTAAGCGAATAATTGCTTGATTAATTAACCATGCTTTATTATTTACCTTACAAATCCTGTTTCATGGATCTAGTCAAAGATTTTAAGATAAATCAAGATTGCCCTAGGGTTGACAGATTTAGCAAATAAAAATACAGGATACCTCCTTAAATCTGAATTTCATATAAATAAACTATTTTTTGTATAAATTTATCCCATGCAATATATGAGACATAAGTAAGGTATAAAATTACCTATTTTTAATCCAAAATTCAAATATAACTGGGTAATATCTGCTTTATTGGGCAATCCTAGATTGGTCTGACCTAAAAAAAAATACGTGTTCTTATTTTTCTAAATTAGAACAAAATACTACATGTGTGATTTGTTAAACCTTATATGATTTTGCTAATCAAGCCCTACAGTTCTCTATAAAGAAAGCCCTCTGCATTGTTCCACCATTCAGTGAAAATACACTGATTGTGTATCCATTGTGTGAAGGTTACCATGTGTGAGTGTGCACAGGGAGATGAGGTTTAGTGAGTTGCTTTTCCCCACCCTGAGGACTCCCTATTCTACTGGAAGAGACAGCCCATTTCAGACCAACCTCTACTTGACATGCAATCCTGGTTTATTAATCTGTGTGGCTGACAACTCTTTTAGGCTTGACACAGCCCTCCTGAGAAAAGATAGAAGATAACACTATAAACTTAGGTTGTCAAAAATGAGAGAGATTATTTTTGAAGTACACATTAAATAATACCTAATTTTTAAGCATTATGTAAACAGCATGATTCATAATTATAATTGAAAACAATTACTCATCATTTGTCTTGATCAGCACATTGAATTTTCAGGTTTTTTTTTTAAACTTTATTTTATTAGTTCACTTTTTTTTTTTTCAAATGTGGTGCTGAGGATTGAATCCAGTGCCTCATTCGTGCTGGGCAAACACTCTACTACTGAGCCCCAGCCCCAGCCCCAGCCCCAGCTTCTAATTCTCAGATTTTGATAATGAAATTCGGGTTTCTCAGGTGAAAAAAAATCTGATTATTAAATTACTTCATGTGTTTTTTTTTTTTTTAAAAGCATAAGCAATAGAAATGTAACACGGCATTTTTTGCCCTGTCTGCTGCATAAGTCCTTCATAGGTAAATGCCATGTTGGCTACTTAATCTAAGTGATTTATTTAGGCAGTTGTTAGGATCCACCCATTCTACCTCTCTGCTGTGACTTTGGTTGATCTTAGTTAATTTCTTATTCTCCATTATGGAGAGAACAGGGTAATGGGAGGCCTGGTTTTCTTTACATAGCACTGTGTCATAATGGAGGTATGTATGCAGGCAAAGTTTGACAGTCAAAATTTTTAGCAACTATTTTTACCAGCTATATGCTACATAAATTCAGTGTTATTTTTAAAAATCAAATATTTAAAATCTAGAAACAAAACACATTTTTTTTCATGACAGTGCTCTCTGTGTGTGTATGAGGGGTGGTGGGGGAGAGAAAGAGAAAGAGAAAGCTTTCTCAGACTTAAAAATATAGTTCAAGGTTTTAAAACAACATTGCTTTAACGTAAACATACCAATTTTCAGTTCTAGAATAGAATATGTCGTTTTTTTTTCTTTTCTTTTCTAAACAAGCCGATGATCTCAACCCTTTGATCTGTGTTTTAAAGAGCACTTTGAAATAAGAAGGTGTGACCCATAAAATGATGACTTTTGTGTGGTTCAGTTTATTATTAATTCATCACCTGAAATTACACAGAGTGGTATTAAAATGTAACAAGAATACGGGGGGGGGGGAATTAAATCAGTCCCCATCACTTGCTAATTACCCAGACAGAACGCTATAGTTAACATTGTCATTATGCTAAGTCCTTAAAAATTATGAAATTCTCATTTACACTCTATGTTTTATGTTGTCAAAAATTACCTTGGGTAGCTCTTCAATTTGATTGGCATCTAGATAAAGCTCCTCTAATGTCCGCTCAAAGTTAAAGACCTCCTTTGGCACCTGCTGAAGGCTGCAGTGGGAGTAATCTAAAACTGAGATGATTTCTTCTTCACCTCGGAAACATCGGCACGGCACCAGACGGCCGATGATTTTCCGTTTGGTGGTCATCTCCAGGCACTGCACTAGAAAGAAACAGAAAAAATAAACAAACTGCTTAATCAACTGCTTTTCAAGGGCTTTCTTAGAGCTTATTTAGAGCTAATTTTGGCACGTATTTTATAATTTTATCATACTTTACAGTTTATATAGGACATGCACATGCAATTTACTCAAAAAATAAAAAAAGTGGAGGAAAGAAACCTCTGGAATTGGAAAAGACACTTCTCTTATTTCTGCAAAAACATTCAAGTTTCACCCAGTGTCTTCTTTTTTGATTCATAGATTTATTCCATCAGCGAACAGGTTTTTACAGAATAAACTAGACTTCGGAAATACGTGATGAGTTGAACAGTTTGTTTTTGTGCAGCGTGTGATCAACTGGACTACAGATTAGACATAGAACTCCTTATTTACTTCAGAATTTTAGTCTGTCTTTAGGAATTCTGTGATTTGGATGGGAGAAAAGAGCCTGCAATCGTGGTACATATTCATGTGACATCTTGGGCATGTCCTTTTCCTATTCCTCTAGGAAATGCCAAATGCCATGAAATTGGCACAGACTTGTGTCATGGATCCTTCAATATTTACTCTATTGCTTTTCAGGTCATTTTCTTCTAGACTTTAAGCTCTTAAGGGCTGGGACTGTTTGGTTCATCTTTGTGTTTGACACAGTGCCTGACATATAGTTGACATTCACTAACGACTGTAGAATAAACAAATGAATGTGCTGGTGAATAAATTAATGTATCTGGGACTCTCAGGATTACATCAGCTACCGATAATTTTCTTGAGACTTCTCATTCTAACTCAAAGATCGTGATCTCTGTGATTATGTCCCCAGGAAGAATAGGTATATAACTCCTGACTGTGCATGCCGTTTCTCCATAGAGTAGGTGGTGCCTTTAAGGAGATCTTGTCTTACTTATTTTTCAATTCACAGTATAAGCACTTGGCCAACTATAGAATCAGCATTGAATGAACATTAATTTGAAACTTGCATTCAATTTGTAAATTTATTTTTAATTAGAATATAAATTTATTTTTAATTAGAAAATAAATTTAATGCTGAAATAGAAATTAGTGACATTTTATAAATATGAAATAAAAACTATATAGCATTTTGCTTTTGAAATTGCTTAGCTAAAGTCAAATTTTGAGGCAACCAGGTAGAATATACTTAAAAACTATAGAAGATTCAGTTCAAAGTCATCCTTATTCCTCTTTAACTTCTGACATTAATGAAAAGATAATCTGGAGGCAGGTTTATGGGTGAGCACTTATAGATGGCTGTTTCCACATGGTGATTATAGAAAGTTTACTAAAAACATATAAAACATGAATTTTTCATTAATTTGCCTGAAACTCCTACACTTCCCAGTTTTTACACTTTTAATGTTTTATATTTTTATTGTTAATTTTATATGTACTTTACATTTTTATTTTTTAAATTAGTTTGTAATAGTTATATATAATACTGGGGTTCATTTTGACATAATCATATAAACACAGAATATAATTTGCTGTTTTACTCCCCAGTATTTCCTCTTTCCCTCCTTTTCCCCCTCACCCCTTCCCTTTCCTCTGCTCTACTGATCTTTTATTTATTTATATATATTTTTAAAAATTAGTTCATTATGGATATACATAAAGGTGAAATTTACTATGGTATATTCATATATGTGCGTAGAAAACTTTGGTCAGGTTGATTCCATCACTCCTCCCTTTCCCTATGCCTCCTCCCTCTTTCTCAATCCCCTTTCTCTGCTCCACTGATTTCTCCTAAAGCATAAGAATCAATAAGTGGGACAGTAGCAAATATAAAAGTTTCTGCACAGCAAAGAACCATTAAGAGCATGAAGAGAGAGACTACAGACTGGAAGATCTTTGCTAACCACTGCTCAGATACGGGACTAGTTATCCAGAATATATCAAAAAACATAGCACCAAAAACCAAATAACCCAATTAATAAATGGACAAAACAACTAAGCAAACAGTTTTCAAAAGAAGACATATGAATGACCAAGTAAATATATTAAAAAATGTTCCACATCCCTAGCTATCAGGGAAATCCAAATCAACACTATATTGAACTTTCATCTCACACCAGTGAAAATTGCAAATATCAGGAATACAAATAATAAACGTTGGCAAGGACATGGGAGAAAAAGGTCTCCTCATACAGTGTTAATGGCACTGTAAAGTTGTACCACCACTCTGGAAAGCATTATGGAGATTCCTCAAAAAACTAGGATTGAAACCACCATTCTACCCAGTTGTCCCACTTCTTGGTATATATTCAAAAGATCTAAAATCAACACATGATAGGGGTACAGCCACATTGATGGTTATAGCGGGGAAATTCACAATAGCCAAGTTATAGGACCAGCCCAAGTACCTGTGAACAGATGAAAGAATTATGAAAATGTGATATATACACGCAATGGAGTTTTACTTATCCACAAAGAAGAATACAATTATGGCATTTATTGATACATGGATGGAGCTTATAATTGTATAATACTTTGCAGTTTATATAGGACATGCTAAATGAAATAAGCCAGACCCAAGAAGTCAAGGGTCAAATGTTTTCTTTCATACAATGAAAGTTAGACCAAAATAAGGAAAAAGAAAAAAAAAAGAAAAGCAGTGGGCAGTTGGGGGGAATCCCATGAAAATATACTTTCTATTTTTTTAATTTGTTTTAAGTAGTTACACATGACAGTACAATGATCTTGACATATCATACATTTGAATCAGATGGCGTATAACTGCTCATTTTTCTGAGTGTACAGGTTGCAGAATCATATTGGTCATATAGTCACGTTTATATATACAGTAATATTAATGTATACTTTCTATTTTTTTAAGAGTCTAAATCACAAGATTTTGTAATTATTATTTTACCTGGCCTTGTTTGATGCCTCCATATCCCTACTTGGAGTCTAGCACATATAAGACATCCTAATGTATAATGAGAGCAACTAAGAACAGAGCAGGGAGGAAGAGCAGGAGGAAAAGATTAACATTAAACAGAGACATGAGGTGGGAGGGAAAGGGAGAGAAAAGGGAAATTGCATGGAAATGGAAGGAGACCCTCATTGTTATACAAAATTACATATAAGAGGTTGTGAGGGGAATGGGAAAAAAACAAGGAGAGAAATGAATTACAGTAGATGGGGTAGAGAGAGAAGATGGGAGGGGAGGGGAGGGGGGATAGTAGAGGATAGGAAAGGTAGCAAATACAACAGTTACTAATATGGCAATATGTAAAAATGTGGATGTGTAACCGATGTGATTCTGCAATCTGTATTTGGGGTAAAAATGGGAGTTCATAACCCACTTGAATCTAATGTATGAAATATGATATGTCAAGAGCTTTGTAATGTTTTGAACAACCAATTTAAAAAAGACATCCTAATGGTGCCTTAATAATTATGTGACATCTGTTAGATACCTAGTAGATGTATTTTGGAGTTTTTATATTGTAAAGGTAAGTGATGATAGCTTAGATTCTTTTAGTTATGAGAATGAGGAGAAGTGATTTTTGGGAAGGTAATTAAGAAGTCAAATCCACAGACTTATGGTGGAATAGAAGGGTGGTAGAAGGGGGGGAAGTGGAGCAGAGAAATCTATTTTAGAAGATTCCCAGGTTTTTAATTTTTTTAATTTGAGTGAGTGCTAGCCATTCTCTCTGTCCCCAGCAGTGATGCCCTAGAAGAGACCCAGGAAGCACACCTTGTCTACTTATGGGACTTAAAGCTGACTGACAAATCAACCGTTCATGCTTTTTGTTGTTCAAAGCCTCATTCCATCTTTTGTGCGGGACCATTGGCTATTTTTTTCTTTAATGTCTTTTAATCATACAGAATAACGGGTTTCATTTTGGCATATTTGTACATGCAAAATAACAAACTTTTCTCGAGATTTATTTGTTGCTGTCACTGCATATTTTTTAAAACATAAACCAAGTGGAATAAAGAGTACCTAGACCTGCCCCTGAACCATTGGGTCAATGTCCAGGGTCCATCAAACCTTTTGAAACTTAATTCACTTAGCATACTTTCACTTTTGTCCCAGAATGTAAGCCCTTATAGTCATCTTCTCTCCCCACAATGTGCTGAATTATTCCCCCTATCCCAACTCCTCTGTCTCTTTCCTCTGAACTCAGAGTTTCCTTTACATCATCATCAATATCTTCACTGAGCCTCAACCCTCTCAAGGAATACTTCCCCTCTCTCTCCTCATTGACTTAACTATAACTGGATTTTTCCTAGGGTCAACATACAATCTTACAGCCTTTAAAAGTAGAGCATGATGATTTTATCACACCACCTACTAACCCACTTCTGAGTTAGAAGGATGGATTACTCTCCACCTTGCCCTCTAAAAACTATTGGTCTTCTCTCATCCTGTAAAACCCGTTCCTTTGACAGCTTCCTTAGAGTAACATCAGTCTACTCTTTCATATACCATTTATTTATCAATTTCTTGAACACTCCTTTTCATTCATTGATGACTTTGTCATCTCATGCACAAAATATGTCTCCATTAAAATTCCATTCATTCCCAATTTATGTTCTCTACCCACACAAAATAACTTTCAATGTTTGGGAGCTCCAACTCCCTATAAATTTCTAAATAACTTGACTGTAAATGCTAATTCTTGATTTTTAAATTACAGGTTTCTCATATCACAAGGTAGGGAGATTCTACCTTTCTTCAAGTAAATTCTGACATACTTCTACCCAAGCAAAATACATGTATAACAATTATGTTTTAAATTAATAGTACCTACTTGGTTATATACCAGTGTAATAGACCACATTATATTTCTTGGGTATCTTTTTCATTCCTTAGAGTTTAAAAAAGTGCTTTATTGTTTTCTTGCTTGGTTATTCTATGTATATTTTTCTAATTCAGTTTCCTGACTCTCTCCCCGTGATACAGCCAAACACATGTAATAACCACCCCCAACTCCTACCAATCCCTTGGGAACCCCGAGTCTCCCTACTCCAGTCCGGA